CCGCGAGCGTGCTCCGACATCCCCCTCTTCCTCCTTCTCCTCCTCCGCCACATCCTGCTCCTTCTCCTCCTCCTCCTCCGCCACCTCCTCCTCCTCCTCATCCTCTTCTTCTTCTTATTATTAGTATTTATCTTATTTTTACTGTTGTCACCATTTCCCCACCACCCCCTCTCCTCCTTCTCCTCCTCCTTCTCCTTCTCCTTCCCTTCCATTCCTCCTCCTCGAGGCCATCCTAGGCAAGGAAAGGCAGGGTGGCGGAGGGTAGCAGGGGGAAGGAGGCGAGGAGGACGGGACGGAGGTGGGATACCCTCGTCATCGTCGTCCTCCTCTTGTTCCCTCCTCCCTCCTCCCTCCTCCCTATCCGCCTTCACCCTCTTCCGTCCACCTTTCTCCATCACCTCTCCCCCCCTTCATCTCCTCCCCCCCCCAAGGAGGAGGAGGAGGAGGAGGAGGAAGAGGAGGGGGAGGACGGGGAGGAGGAGAGGGAGGGGTAGAAGAAGGAGGGGGAGGAGGAGGAGGAGGAGGAGGAGGAGGAGGACGACGACGACGAGGACGAGGACCAGTGCAAACCCAAGTGTCATCAACGATGTTGGAATTCACCTCCCTCCAAGCTCCCTCTTCATAGAACCCTACAACGGTTCTTACCCATTAAGGGAACTGCCTCGTTGGAAGACAACCGTTTGAAAGCCCTGAAACATGCCAAAACATTGTTTGCGGGATTTCAACGCCACGGATCAACCTGACTGCTGAATCTTGACGATCCAGAATCGTGCCAGAACGCCGCTCTTTGGACTTCAACACCGCGTTGATCATGGGGACCCGTGAACCTCTTGCATCTGTTTGAAACGAATGCGCGCGGCGCTGTAGCGAGGAGAGAAACATGTTGAACACCAGCCGCCTTCAATCCGTGAAACTCTTGCAAACGTTTGAAACGAAAGCTCGCAACGCTAAGGCGAAAACACCATTTTGAAAATCAGCCGCCCTCAATCCGTGAAACTCTTGCAGATTTGTTGGACGAATGAGCACGGCGCTAATGCGAGAGCCATATTTTGAAAACCAACCGCCCGCAATCCGTGAAGCTCTTGCAAATGATTGAAACGAATACGCGCGTCGCTAAGGCGACAACCGCATTTTGAAAACAACCCGTCCCCCCTCTGTGAAAAGGTTGCCACTGCCTAAGCTTCAGAATCATGAATGGTGAGGAAGTCTCAAGCGAAACGCCCAGACCGCGCTAAAAACTAGCCTCGGGGTGTGACAAAAGGAAGAGGAATGGAAAGGAGGAGGAAGAGGAAGAGGAGGAGGAGGAGGACCTCCCCACCTCTCCTTGCCACCCTCCCACCACACGAGCGCTCCGAAACCCCAGCGGGGCTCCTTGATGGACGGCTGCGGCGCAGGGCGCCCTGCCTGGACCCCGACGACAACGACGACGACGCCGACGCCGACGACGACGAGGGCTAGGGCGACGACGACGACGACGACGACGAGGGCGACGACGACGACGACGACGTCGTTGATGCCAGCGGCGGCGGCGACGGCGAGGGCGACGGCGACGACGACGGCGGCGTTGACGACGACGACGTGGATGACGGCGGCGGCGACGGCGGCGGCGGACGACGACGGCGGGCGACGACGACGACGACGACAGCGGACGACGACGATGACGACAACGACGACGACGACGACGACGACGACGACGACGACGACGACGACGACGGCGGACGACGGCTGACGACGACAACGGCGGCCGACGACGGTACCGACGACGATGACGACGACGACAGAAATTCGACGACCGACGACCAACGACCGACAACGACGACGAGGATCACAACCGGCGACCGACGACGACGGGAGCCGAGGAAGAAGATGAGGATGAGGGCGGGGAGAGGCGGAGGCGACCGTGGAGGAAAAGAGGAAGCAAACGAGGGAGTGGGAGAATAATGAGGAATGCTGAGGAAGAGGGGGAGATCTGGGAAAGGATGGGGAGCGAAACCAAAGAGAGAGGACGAGGAGGATGCGGGCAAGGATGAGGGGATGGAGCGGGAGAAGCAGGGGGAACATCAAAAACAAGCGAACGGGGAGGATGGGGAGGGGACGAGGAAGAGGAAAAGGAACAGGAGGAGGTGGAGAACGGCCGGGGCAGGAGCGAGAGCGGGCGCATTGGCCACGAGCAAGGGCGGGCGCGGCAGGCGCGAGGCAGCACGCTCAGGAGGGAGGGGATGGGAGAAGAGGAGGAGGAGGAGGAGGAGGAGGAGGAGGAGGAGGAGGAGGAGGAGAGGAGCAGCAGCAGCGCAGCAGGAGCAGGAGGATAAGAAGGGAGGAGGAGGAGGGGGAGGAGGAGGAGGAGGAGGAGGAGGAGGAGGAGGAGGATAGGAGGAGGAGTAGGAAAGAGAGGAGAGGACAGAAGGAGGAAGGACGAGGAGGGAGGAGGAGGTTTTCCCCCAGGCGGGAGGAGGGAGGACGGAGAGGAACCCGGCGGCGCGCCCGAGGAGGTTCCAGGCTCGCGACGACGACGCCGCCGACGACGAGGACGGCACAACAAACACTTCCTGGAAGGCGCGAGGCCCTGCGAGAAGTCCCGCCGCCGTCTGGGAAGGCCTTCGACCTTCTCGCTCGCCCTCCCCCCCGCTCGCCGCCGAGGCAGGGGGGGGGGGAAGGCGGCGGGGAAGGGAGGGGGGGGAGAGGAGGAAAAGGCAGAGGAGGATGAAGAGAAAAGGGAGGAGAAGGAGGAGGAAAAGGAGGAGGAAGAGAGGACGAGGGGAGGAGAGGACGAGGAGGAGGACGAGGAGGCGCGAGGCGAGGCGAGGCGATCTGCATAAAAGGGGTGGCCGCCCAACTTCAGTTGCGAGACTAGAAAGTATCCCCTGCGTGAGTACTATGCAGCAGGGGCCCGACAGCCCTTCGACATCGTACCGACTTCCCTGCCAGGGCCTGCGCAGGGGGCGGATCACGAGGCCTTCCCTCCACCCCCCCGCCTCCGCCGCGGGCTAGCGCGCGGCCCGTTCGCAGGTGGCCCTGCGTCACCAGTCTGTGGCCCTCCGACGAAACAAAGGGGCGCGGCGCCGCTGGCACTGCGCCACCAACGGCGCGTGCGAGCGGGCCTGCGCAAGAAGGGGGGGTCCCTGAGCCCCAATTGAATTCGCGGGCCAGATTCCTCTCTGCATCCCGCGGAGAAGAGGACCGAAGACGAGAGGCTAAGAGACGCGAGGAGGGAACGCTGGGCGAAAAGGCCCGCGACCCGAGATGCCCTCGCTAAAACGCGCGGCTCTCCCTTCGAGGCTAATGCAGTATTCTCCTCCGCGCCAAACGCGCTCTGTTGAAACCCTGTGTCGTCCGCATTCTGGAAGAGCGGAACCTTCCCGGGGTGGCCGTTGTGTACTTGTCTCCCACGCTGCAAGAACTCCAATGCTTTCCCATTCCGAAGCAGCGAATTCCACCTCTGGCAACATGCGAACTGCGCCGCTGGAAGCCTACCGGTGCCGCAATTCGCAGAAAAAGCAATGACCAACATTGTTCCACATAGTGTCATCGATGCCGTCCAAAGTCTGCGCTTCCGTGTCCGATCTTCGATGACAAACCTTCAACAACTGTGTCTTTAACCACTGAGAGGTCAGAGGGGGGGCCCGGTGGGAAATGTTGCAGGTCCCTTCGCCTCAGTGCCTTACGCCTTCTCCATCTCCTCCGCAACTGCAGAACCCTTGTGTGGAGCAACAATTCTAATATTTCAGCATAATCTCCAGTGAGCATCCCTCCTTTCGCGCATAGTGTTTACAAAACGCTCTTAGTGATTCCTTCGTGGGTCGCTGTAAAACTGACGAATTCCGGAAGCGCTGCGATCTCTGGGTCGTCATTGAGGAGCATGGGTTTTCGAAGTTGGTCATCGGCACCAGGGGGTGGCCCCTGAACCTCGGGGCCTCCATCTTCCAAGACCTCCTTCGCTCTCCTGAGAACAAACGAAAAAATCTCCTGGGACAACATGTCCAAACAATTGGGTTGGCATCCGTCTTTCCAGGCCTCCTTCTCGTCCGTCTCACCGCGGGGGTCCACGGGATTTCGAGGTCCATCATCGGCAGGAGCCAATGACCTCCGAACCCCGGGGCCTCCATCTTCCCCCTTTGTCGCCTGCTTTCGTTTGTGCCGCGGCCGCGAGGTTCTCTCTGCGCCCCTGGCACTGCAATGCTTTGATTCGGCGCTTCCCGGAGCGACTCGAGTGCAACGGTTTCCTCTCAGGGGGGAGCAAGTGGCCGCGGCTGCCCAGCCTCGCCTCCAGTTTTGCTCGGCGGCGAAGAAACGAATGCGAAGCAAGGCCACTCGGATTCCATGGACGAAACTGATATTCGATGTCCTGCGACAGCGTTTCAAGTCTGGAAGATCCGCAGGTCGTTGAGACGGGCTGCGCCCGGGCCCATGTGGGCGCAGGCGCTGAGGGGAGCCGAGGCCGCTCTGCAAACTCCCCTGGCAGCTCTTCCCCGTGGGCCCCACAGGACGCAGGCGGAGGGGGCAGCCGAGCAAGCTCTACAAACACCCCCGCTGCCGTATGCCTTCTCCTTTCGTGCACATTGCTGCAAGTATCCTCGGTGTTCGCTCCCTGAACTTGAGCTACCATGTGTTCACACATTGCAATCCTGGCAAGCTGGCATTTCCGCGCGTGGGTGCGGTGGGTCCGTTCCCTCCGTCGTTGGCTCGTTTTTTTTTTGCCAGGTCACGCTTCTATATTCCAAAAAATTAGAAAGATGCGGCCACTCTGGGAAAGGTCGCAAAGAAGTACGGCATCGAAAGGGCTGCAGAAATTGTTATGTTTGGTTTTCTAGTTCTCCTCCCGTGGCCCTGGCGGAGCAACCTGCGTGGCTGTCAGAGTCCGAAAGTCGTGTGGGTGAGTTTCAATGAAAATCCTCCCTCCGTCGGGGCTCCAAGTGCCTGAGCCTCCAACGCCGACTAGGAGGAGGAGGAGGAGGAGGAGGAGGAGGAGGAGGAGGAGCAGGAGGAGGAAGAAGAGGAGGAGGAGAACGAGGGGAGCGAAGTCGAGCAAAAGGTCTGGAGGTCTACGCGCACGGCTGCGAGGGCGCGAGGGCACCAGCCCGCGCCACCCGAACGCGGAACACAGGAAGCACGCCAGCGCACCCGCCCTGCGATGCGCTGCTGGCCTCCTCCGCCAGCGCCTCGACGTCCAGCAGGATCACGGCGGCCCTGGCGCCGTCCTCCAAAAGAAAGAAAAACAACACAAACATAAACGTGTGGGGAGCTCCGCCTAGGTCGGGCATGTCCCCTCTACAGGCGGATGTTTGAAGAAAGATTAGAGACAGTCAAGGAGTATTCAAAAATAGTCAAAGACAGTCAAAAAATCGTCCCCTGACTATGTTTTGACTATTTTAGAATATTCCCCCTGTAGAGGGACAGGCCCGACTGAACGCTCCGCGCGAATTTCTTGGATCTGCGCTGGACCCCCCTCCCTGCCGCGCGGAACGCGCCAGAAGCGGCTCCGGAGGCGCCGACAGGCGGGGGGGCCCAGCGCGGATCCAAGAAATCCGCGCTGAACGCCAAAAGTTTATATTTTCATGAAGTTGTAGGGGGCCAGAAGCGAACCCTACCCCTACCCTCCAGGATTTCTGAGGGGGAGGGTGGGGTTCACTTGGTTCGGGAGCTCCCGAACGGAGTGAACCCCACCCTCCCCCTCAGAAATCGTGGGGGGGTAGGGGTAGGGTTCGCATCTGCTAAGTTGTTTCTTCTTCGAGCCCTCGCAGGCAGGTTCAAGCCCCCCCCCTTACAGTGAATCCGTATAGGAAGGATGCGCGACAAGGGTGCAAGGGCCTCGGAAGGCCAGTTCGGAGCTCTCCGAGTGGGGCGCCGCCCACGAAAGTGGCCGAGGATGGGCCGAGGAGGCAAGGACGCAAGGGCACATTTGGGAAGGTCAGGAGAGCCCAGAATCGAATCCACATCGGATCGGCGATCGAAATCAATCGGATCGGCGGAAATCGGAAGCCGAGTCGGGAAAAGTCGAATCGGCGGACCTCGGCAGGCCAATACGCATGCCTCCAATGAAAAATCGGAACCCGAACCGCAAGCCCGAGCCGAATCGGAATCGGAACCGGAAGCCATCGAAATCGAATCGATTTGGACGCCCGAACTGGGTACGGAAAAAATGGGTACAATGCTCAACAACAAATGTTGTCCCAAACCAACAGCGGCCGCTGTTGGGCAGGCGGCCTTCTGTCTCGAATGGACACAAGCCGCGGCGGGGTGGACAGCGAATCCTGTTCAGAATGAACAGGAACTGCTGTTGGGCATTGTACCCATTCTTTCCGTGCCCATTCCGGGCGTCCAGAATAGAATCGAATCGGAGAAATCGGAACGAGCCCCTGGAAGGTGGCCCATCCTGACCATGCGGGCTGACTGCACTCAGTCGGGGCACTGCCGGAAGGGGCGCCGAGCAAAGAGCGCGGATGGGGCTTTCCCAGGCCACGGCGAGCCCAGGCCGCGAGGGGGCCTCCCTCCTCCTCCTCCTCCTCCTCCTCCTCCTCCTCCTCCTCCTGCTCCTCCTCCTGCTACTCCTCCTGCTCCTCCTCCTCCCCCTCCTCCTCCTCCTCCGCCTCCTCCTCCTCCTCCTCCGCCTCCTCCTCCACCTTTTCCTCCTCCTCCTGCTCCTCCTCCTCCTGCTCCTCCTCCTCCCTCCTCCTCCTCCTACTCCTCCTCCTCATCCCCCTCCCTCTCTTGTAACGATGATTCCCCTCATTCGGCGATCCCCCAACTTCGGGGGGGGGGAACCACGCTCCCCTTGTGCTCGCCGATCTGAACACAGTTGAAAGGTTTGTGATACTGGTATGTATTTGTACATACACACTTTTGAAGGACATGCAAGCCGCATATGAGCCAAAAGTGCCCCCCCCCAACCCGACGGCCTTTGGCCGCGCCGGGGCCGAAAGGCAAGACGCCGTCGCCGTCGGTCGGAACCTGCACGGGGACGGGCTGCGCCTCGAACTCCAGCGCTAAAACTTCGGCCTCGTACCTGAGCGCGACCTCCGCCACTTGGACAATGGAATAGCGCCAAACCTGCATCGCGACGAACGTTCTACCTACGCCAGCGCCGTCGGCCTCAGCCCGGCGAGAACCGACCTTGGCAACTTTGCGAAGTACCAAGTTCGATGCGGTCACGCTGTCAACGCCGCTGCTCGAAGATATGCTGAACGAAGTGGGGCTTGAAGGCTCAGCGCGAACCAGCCACGTGACATCGCCCTCCCAAACGAACTTTGCCAGGAAGTGGTGCTCTACAACAGTCTGCGCGGCGCCGAGCTCCCCTGCAATCTTGACCGAAGCAGGCAATGCCACCTTCTTACGCCTCACCATGGTATACATCTTCTTTGATATCCGACGTGCTCAAAGTAGGGGGTCATTCTTACAAGGTGAAGCGCGCCGCGCGCGGCATGCAGGATCCATATCCATCTTGCCGCCGGGGTTGACAACGGCACGGTTGTCAAGCTCAAACAGTTTAGCGCACTCTTTCCTGCTGAACCTCCGAGGGCTTCGTGGAGACGAAGCCCGGCTTCAAAGCGGAACCCATGCAATGGAGGCGAGCACCACTGCCCCATGCATCATCATTCTGCATCGCCTCGATCGCGTTCGCCACGGCGCGGCTGCGACGAATTGCGAGCCGACCGATGGGATGACGGAGTATGTACCTCTCTATATGTTCCGTGAAGCCCTCGCTCGCCCGGCCTTGAAGTTGTCGCGTCTGGCCGTCAGCAACCCCCGCGTATAAAAAAAACAAGCCTTCTCCGCCGCTGGCAACGCACTCCATGCTGGGCGCGTTCGCCTCGTGCGCTCTGGCACAAACAGATGAGCAGGTTGTTCATGGAAATGCGCCTCGATGTACACGTCGACGCCCGATGTTGCTCTAAGCTTCAGTCGGGGCGTCGGCAAACTCTTCGCTAGTGCGGCCGATGAATAGACTGCCCTGATGCCCTCGCGCTTGCGTGCGTGGCTCTGAACTTGGACATCGTTTGCGCGATCTGTCGCCGGAGCGACAGCGTCGGCAAGTACGCGTTGAACATGCGCTTGGGGGCGATCTGCGCCTCCTTGCGGGCAGCCTTCGCGCGCGCGAGCCTGCTCAGGCTTGCAGCCTCTGGTGCTCGCCCTTTTCGCTTGTGTGGTCTGACCTCCTGCCCAGGTAAGTGCTGCTGCTCGCATCTGGTCGAGAAGACCCGCGATGCGCAGAGAAAACCATGCAGCGACCTCCAAGCCCGCTCAGACACAACCTCTGTCCCAACAGCCGCTGGCCCCACGCATCCGCGAAGTGCCCCTGGGCGCAAGAATGACATTCCACCCGCTTCTCTCGCAAAGGCTGGCAGACGATTTTCGGCAAGGCCGATCGTGGACTCCGCGATTGCAAGAAGCAAAGACCATGAACTCGGGCTGGACAACATTGAAAACAACACGGTGGTAACAATCTGCCATGCTCTCCAACGAACCAGCGCAAACTCCAATGTGCCTTTCAGTCGGAAGCCTTGACAACACCCAATTTTCGCATCGAAAACGACGGATCATAACCGCGCAAAGGGTTAACAACATCCCTCCCGATTTGCCAGTTAGGAAATCGCCGTTCATGACCATGGCTTTGCATTGCGCGTCCGTCAACGCCCCCAGGAATGCGAGATGGAGTGGTGCGCATGCTCTCAGAAATAACATATGTGGCCACAGCTTCAACCTGGAAAGCTAGACTCAGATACAAGTGTCCAGGTACGTTCACAACTTGGGCAGATTCGAGGTCAACAACTTGCGGGTCGCGGTTGAAAGCATCGATAACTGTTCCCGCCCCGATTTGTCTCTTAACTGCGAATTCGGCCTCCTGTTGTCGAATGCGGGCGATGTTCAAGCTTCGTTCACAACGTTTTCTTGGTGCATGATCTCCAGGGCCCGATCGAGTAAACGACTTTGCCGACGCCCCCTGAAAGCTTTTGACGTTGCCTGCTCCATCCCTTTCAATCAGTACTCTCTTGGTGCAGTATACCCTCGCCCAGTGGATGTCAGAACACATTGGGTCACTATCTTTGGGCTCGTCTCACGGTCGCCATTGCATCGCAAAGTACATTACCCCCTCGAGCACCAGTGGAACATGTCATCTTGGCTCCAGTCGCCGTTGTCTACAGCTAAAACCACCGCCTCTTTTTTGTCATTCAGATCTAACGCGGGCCGGGAAGCCTTCATGATTCGAGCTGCTCGGGCGCGCCATTCATTCCACCGGCGAGGCATTGCGCCGACCAGCCTGTAGAGCAAGCTATCCCGAACCAGCTGTTCGATCGCTTTTCTCAGAGTTGCATCGCACTTCCCATTCTCCAAGGTGTGACCGAGACGAACGAGTGCCAGGTAAGTTATTCAATATCCTGTATGTTGGCTTCAACCCAAGGACGGTCAAGTGACCTCAACGATCAATGTTTAAAGGGTTTGTGCCGCGACTCCTGTCGAAGGGTGCGCACTCCAACACACAAATATAATGATTCAGACTCAAATTGTCGGTTGCGTGCACAATGCTTTGCCACCGCGCCTGGTCCAACGCCTCAGAAAGCTTACCATCCATATCAAATTTGAAGCCAGGACAGATCGTGGAACATACAATCCAATCCAGCAGCCGCCGTCGCACTGTCAGTGCATTGGCTTGCGGTAGCGCCTGTGCTGGCGCAACGACGGCGGCGCCTCGCACCCGCGGCGGCATCGTGGTTGGGCAGGGCGCGCCGCCCCCATCAGCGTAGACGTGGCCCACGCTGAACAGCGTCTCGACCTTCGGGGGAGGGGCAGACGCACTGCTTCTCACAATGCGTTTCAACGCCTTTGAAACGCATCGCGAACACCAGACCATTCAGGATGCCCGTTCGTAGATCAACCGAACCAGGGGCCCAAGCCCCCCCAAAAACCCTCTCACCGACCCCTGACCCCTGACGCGGGCCAACCTGCCAAAACTTACCCACGCCCAGTTGCCACTGCAACCAGCTGGGATGAAACGTTGAACCTCGACCTACGACGGACCCCATCAAACAAAACGGCCTTGCTTAATACGGACATGGGCACGTTCATGCCTTCCCTCTTCATAAGCTGGAAATTCTGCTGCAGCACATCTGCCAAAAAGGTCCAACGCACGTGATATTCCTGGAAAGCTTCGAGATCATCATCGAAACGTCGTCGAATACATGGATGTTGATGATCGTGGCAC